TCTTTTTGACAGTGCCATTCTTACTGGATCGAGGTGATAGCTCATTGTGGTTTTGCATTTTCTTGATGATTAATCATGTCGAACATTTGAAAAATACACTGGCTATTTATTTGTCTCTCTTCCCCTCCTCCTCACTCTTTTTTTTTTTTCTGTACTGGGATCAAACTCAGGACCTTGTACTTGCAAAGCAGGCACAGTGTCACTGAGCTACATCCCCAGCCCTGTCTCTCTTCTTTTGAGAAATGTCTGTAGTCTATTTTCTTTTGGTACTGGGGATCGAACTGAGGACCTTGTGCTTGCGAGACAGGCGGTGGCACCACTGAGCTGAATCCCCCGCCCTGTAGCCTATTTTTTAATTAGGCTATGTGGGGCTTTTTTTTTTTTTGCCATTAAGTTTTTGGAGTCCTTTTTATGAAATATACATTGTATTTTTTGTTCTTGTAGTTGTTCTTTTTTGGTATCAGGGATCGCACTCAGAATCTTTTGCTTGCGAGGCAGGTGGTAGAACCACTGAGCTAAATCCCCAACCTGAAATACAAATTTTAAACAAGATCTCCAAATGTATTATTATGTGCTAGAAAATTTTGAGATGCATTGTTTAATTCATCAGAACTCAGAAATATTGGAGGCACATGTACTTCAAAAAGAAATAAATCTAAAAGTGAAAATTCTGTAGGTCTGTGGGTAAGATCCTCATGCTTCCTCCCTGGAATCACAGCACAGTATGCAGGAGCCGGCCAGGTGGGTAGATGCTCTGTGCGGGTGTCTGGGGCCATTCATGCTTGCAGATCATAGATAGGACACTGACTGCAGGAAGACGACACAGGACTGCAGGGGTGAGAAACTAGGAGAGGCTGAAAAGGTAGGAGGACTTGGCCATGCAGCCGAACACCAAAAGATAAGGGATGAGATCTCTGCTTTATGGTTAAATACCATTCCTAACTCCCTGGGCTTGACTTTTCGTAAACTCCAGCCCCTCCCGAGCTAGCAGGTCACACATGCTGCCGTGGGGAGGCCGTGGGGAGGTGGTGTCACTGCTGGGCTCACTGCATTGTTTCCACGTGAGAGTTTCCGTCCAGCATGACCAACTCTTTTGGCTTTTGCAGTGAAGCTAAGAATGCGTGCATATAAAACATCTTGAGTATAATTTGTTTGTAAATAATTAAAATATTTTTAGGACTCATGCCACATGAAATTCACATGTGTACTGCATGTGGTTTGCAACCTCTGTTGTGGATCAACAGAAAGTATGAGATGGTGTTCAGTACCTGGCTTGTGCATGGCACAGACACAGGGTTTGGACCCAGTAGGAACTGCTACGGGTCTTTACTAAGTAATGAAATAGTATGAACACACGGGGAAAGGAAGCGGCATTCGCTTGGATGGCTGAGCAGTATGTGACATCTGACGACACTGGCTGGTGTTTGAAAAAAGAGCTCGCTGCCTAAAGAGAGAAAACCTAGATCCTATGAAAGCTGACAAGGAAGGAGGCCTGGGGTTGGGTCCACAGTGAGGAAATGAAGACAGGGGAAGTACGTGGTATCCTGAGCTGGGATCCTGCCCTGCAGTAGGCACCCATGGGTGGGAGGCTTGTCCTGGAGGAGAACCCAGAATGGAGCGAGGCTTTGAGTTAATTTATGTTTGTCGTTTGAGTGTTGAAGTTGGGTGGCTGGTTGTATTTAAAATTTGCCATCGTTAAATTGCTGTTCTCCCCATGTGAGTGAAGACTCTGGGGAGGGGTCAGAATATTTTTTGAAGATTTCCTATTATTAATTTCTTATTAAAGACTAATTCCTCAAGGGTAAGGACAATTTATTTATCTTTGCAACCCAGGGAGCATTTAGCATGGTGAGTCAGGCAATGCCTCTGATTTAAAAGACCAAATAAAGTTAATTTCCTGCCTTGGAAATATTTCTACATGAATTAATTTTTCTCAGTGATGTTTAAAATTAACAGCTTTACTGAGATATAATTGACACATCATAGAATTCAGGAATGAAAGTGTATAATCTAATAGTTTTTACTACATTCATAAAGTGCAGCAGTTACTGGCAATACCAGACCTTCTCCTTACTCCCAGAAGAAGCCGTACCAGTTAGTTGCCCTGTTCTCCATTTCTCCAACTCCCAAGCGTCATCAGCCATTGTGCTCTCGCTGTCTGGGCGTTGTGTGCTGTGCTTGTCTTGTGTGCTTGGCCTGTTTCACTTAGCATGTTTGAACGTGTTGTAGCATGAATCCGTACTTCACTCTTTATGGGCAGATAATATTTCACTGTATGGATATAATTCACTCTGTTTATCCATTCATCAGTTGATGAATACTGCAATGTTATTCCTTTTTGGTTGTTGTAAATAATGCTGTTAAGAACATTTGTAATGTTTTTGTATGGATATCTATTGTCAATTCTGGGACGATACCTAGGAGTGGATTTACTGCATCATATTTATCATTCTGAGAACCTGTAAAACAATTTTCCATAGTGAATGCACCATTTTATGCTCTGGCGAGCAATTCCATGAGGGTTCCAATTTCTCTACACAATTGCCAGCACCTACTGTTTTTTTTTTCTTTTTTTTTTGCTACCCTAGTGGGTCTGCACTTATACAGTATTTTACTGTGGTTTTGATTTTCATATCTGAAATGAGTAATGGTGAGCATCTTTTTATGTGCATGTTGTTTATTAGCATATGTTTGCAGAAATATCTATTTAAATCATGTGCTAATTTTAAGAACAGGATTATTGTCTTTCTACTTTTGAGTTGTAAAAGTTCTTTATATATTCTGGATACCAGACCCTTATGAGATATAGGGCTTAAAAGTATTTTCTTCCATTTGTAGATCATCTTTTCACTTTTTTTGGTGGTATCCTTTGAAGCACAAAAGTTTGCAAATTTGGTGAAGTACAGTTTGTCTTTTTTTATGTTTCCTTGTACTTTTGGTATATCCATTTTTGTTGATCTTGTCTGGTTCTGCCCATTATGGAAAGTAGGGAATTGATGTCTCAGTTTTGCTTCTGTATTTTGCACCTCTGTTGTTAGGTGCATACATGATTAAAATAATGGTTTCCTTTTGAATTTATCCTTTTATATCACAAAGTACCCTTTGTCTCTAGTAACAGTTTTTGTTGTAAAGCCGATTTTGTCTAATAATTGTATTGTCACTCTCTTTTTCATTACTGTGTGTGTGGTTTATCAGTTTTCTAGTTCTGCTATAACAAAGTAGTACCAGGGACCCCTGCAGTTAGGTTCCAGTTTCCTGCCAGTATACAACACAGGCCTGAGGGAAAAATACACTGAAAGACAGAACTGAGAGACAGCAGGCAGGGAGCCAGGATGACCAAGGCTGGTGCAGCTGACCAAGGCTCTGGCTGGTCCAAGCCACTGATTTTTATTGTTAATCAGTTGGGTTAAAGGTGAGCTATGTTCAAGGATGTGCAGTTGTGCAGTTTTTACGGAAATCGATGTAAACAAGGTTTGTAAAGGTTGAGATGAAGCATTCTCCAATTAGGAACAGAAGAGATAAAACATATGGTTGTAATAGAACACTGCCCTTCTGGTAAGGTTTTAGTGTGGGAATGGAATTTGGGTACAAGTTACTCTGACCTCGGCATGTAGGCTTCAGCTGGACTCGCTTCTCAAAACAAGCCAGTTGTGGGGTTCACTCTTAACAGCTTTTATGGAGAAGAAAATTTCTGGAATTCATATTTGGTTATTCTGAAAGCCCCCCCCCCCCGTTTTAAAACTGCTTTCTACTCTAGTGATGTTGTGTTTGTTTATTAACAACTTTTGTCTCTTTTATCTTTTGTTTACCTGTCCTACAAGTACATACTTTTAAGGTTTTAGAGTCCATGCGTTATGCATTTTTTCCCCAGTGTTGGGGATGAAACTCAGGACCTTGTACTTGTGAGGCAGGCATGATGCCACTGAGTTCAATCCCTGCCTCTGCATTTTTTTTTTTTTTTTTTTGAATTGTTTCTTGTTGTTTTTCCCAGTGGCCTCAAA